GTGGCTGATAGCTAACATAGAGATGTTGAAGAATGAGTGGTCGGGCAAATGTGCCCTCAATGGTGTAGTGGTAGAGCACGCGTCCCCGGATAGGATGAAACGTGGGTTCGATTCCCGCCTGAGGTCGTGTTTTTTGCTCACCACTCAGTTCTCAGGAATACTGTCATTTGAATCAAACGAAATTAGTAGCGCGGTTAAAAGGTGCCTAAAAAGATGCGGTCATGAAAATTCCGTGGTAGTTAGTGAAATCCCACCTACCACGACACGCCATCAGCTGGTCCGCATTAGGCTATACCATCAATTGTGCACACGAAAAACTGTATGATCTGTCCTAACGGAAAAGAGGGGGATTGTATGAGGTCGGGCACAATTTATTTGCTAACATGTAAAACATGCGGGGAGGAATATATAGGCGAAGCTGGTAGACCACTTTTCATCCTCATAAAAGAACATCTAGATAGTAAATCTAAAATAGATAAAATCAAACCTTCAGGTTTACATAGGGTACAAAAACCAACAACAACGATTTTGATGTGACTGTCACAGTCCTAGCGCAGGAATCAAAACATCCACGAGCAAGACTCTTGAGGCATTTTGGATAAAAGCCCAAAATCTCGAAAACCGGAAGGACGAGTGCGTCACCATCACACGAAATCTCGCGCCCTTTCTTCGTTTGATCTTCTAACTTGACCGAGGCAGGATGTAAATAAGACCATCCGAATATTCAAATAGACTAATACTACATACGCCCAGGCTCTGAAGAAGGCGGGTCGCCGAAACATCATCGTACTTTTACGACTAATTTACCAACCTCGCGTCAGTTAATCAAAATAAGTTTTTTTGATTTTCATATAACAGTTAATTATGCCGAGGTTATTGGAAAGTCAAACTTTCTCAGTGCGTAATACCAACTAGGAAAAAGTATGCCTCGCCTTTGCGATAATTAATTCATTTTTTTGAACTGCACCGCGCGCTCCATTGCCATTTTTATATCGAAATTTAGATTCCCGAATGTTTCATCTTCACACCGAAGTGGAGAGGTCTTCCGTATGCACTTTTAGCAGGAAGATACGACAATAAGTTCTAAGAAACGCGTAACAAAAAAAGAACAAAAATGAATCACGTTCAACTCTTACTTCCCATTTCTGTCGCACAACTTGTATAAGTGAGATCGTCTTTTTCTAACCATCATCCTTCCGATCGCCGCAAATACTTATTTGTTTCTACAATCAGTTCCCAAAAATAAGGAGCCTCAGTTTGTAGAAGTTGATTATTTCCTGCGCCCTAAGTACTACGCAGCTTTGAACACATTTTGCCATTATCTAAGAGTAGGGCACAATTTTGAGTGACATCTTAATAACTCACAAACTACATTTTTCATCAGTCTTTCCTTATGTGAGTGCACAACATAGTGCAGCAATGACTGGCGTTTCGGAGCCTTTCCCTAGCCTCGGAGCCTGGAAAGGTCAAACTGACTAGCAATCTGCTCAGTCTATCAGTTCCTAAGGCGGAGCCTCGAAAATAATGACGGCTGTAAGGTCGAAGAGTGAGCAGTGTGGAATGAATCTTGGGAGTCGGTGCACAATCTAATCTTACATTTTTCTGATGTTCAAGACCTTTTCGTGGAAATATTCATCCAAACACAATTCGTTCTACACCGAGAGTTATTCCGTATCGCAAAAGTACCCGGCCTCCTTTTAAACTACAAGTAATGCGTAGAAATAACATGGCCTATGTGTGAGAGAAGATAATTCTATCAACGTCTAATAAAAGAGAATGAGAGCTTTGTAACTTTTGTTTTAAACGTGTTAGGCGGAAAAACTGAAACAAAAGCTTGCGGCGGTTGTATTACTCTCATTTGGTGAAAACGAAGGAGAATACCCCATCAAAATCAGTTTGCATAACAAGGAGGTCTCTGTTTTATTGCTAGGCGTCTTCAAGTGGATTTTCGTCATGTTGGAATTATTAGGAGAGGTGGGAGCTTGATCGGGCGCAAAAATCGTTTTGAGGGCATTCAACTAGTAGGAATACACCCACTGATGCAAAACTTTTGCGTCAGGCGGAACTAGAACCTGCACCTCACTCTTTTCCGGGAATGCGTGCTCTATCCGTTACACTACTGACGCCCATTTTGCACATCTCTCTTTCTCACGTTGCAGCGCATCTATCTGTCAGCCGCCATCCGTCAACGGCCTGGCCCGGGTAGTCAGTCTCGACATTGAACCCAGTCACGCTGACAGATATTGGGTATTGAAGATCAAACAAGATTCTTATTATTTAAACCGCTTCTAGCGGTGATTATGATGTTACAAATATACCCATTGATGTAGAGTGATGTGCAAAACTTTCGCGTCAGGCGGGAACTAAAACCCATTGCTAGATTAGAAGATTAGAATTAGAATTAGATTAGAATTAAACTAGATTAGAACTAGATTAGTAGGAATACATATGGAGCTTAAACGGTGTGCGAGTTTAGTGTCCAAGGTCACCACGTTAAAATGTGCTCGTAGCACAGAATTAACGCGGATAATTTGAAGTTAGTACCCATAAAACACATAGAACGATAGAACAAAGTTTTTCTGTCATTCAGAGAGGGTTCCAACTTCAGTAGTTTATCAAAAATCGAGAATTTCTCTAGGATTATTGATGAAGTGGATTGCATGCAGTGAACAGCATCATTTTTCACAAATATTTGATCGATTTCTTATTTTCAGTCACTATTACGATACTGGGATATTTGTTGAAATGGAATAGTTTTAAAACCGGAAGATTCTGCCGTGATTTTTGATTTCAAAAAGACAAACTGATAAAGTGGCTGATTATTTCCTTTCAAACCGGTGGTTGGAATCGCTGCGCATAGTGTCCATTAAAAAGACGCCCAATTTTTGTTGTGGCTTTAGCGATTTTCCCTCCGTTCCGAAAAAGCCTTAGATTTGTTCGTACTAGACCTGTAGAAGAGACTTCGGTGTATCGTTCTATAGATACAAACGTTTCTTTGTTGCACACTGCCAAATGAGCCCTCTATGATATTCATGCGACGGGCTAATATTCCAAAAGTAAACGGAATCTTTTCTTCTCTCCAACAGCGTTATATGCAAACTTCTCCAAAAACCAATGCCAGCACTAAATTTTTGAGATTTGGAGCATTACATGATCACCAATAATTTTCCAAAAAGCCACCCACATACCATAGCCGAGCAAAGAAAGCAAAAGCTGTATACAAATTGAGCACATTATTGAAATAGTCGAGATTGCTTTCGAATAATTATTGAAAGTTTCAGGTAAAGGTCTTCCCTAGTGGGAAAGGTGTCTGGAAATTGGTTTATACAAATAGATATACTTCATCTTGGAATCAATGGATTATCAGTGATGAACAGCCATGCAAGGATAACTACACTATAGTGAGAAAACCTCACTGAAACCAAAAAGGAATTCAATTCTATATTGATATGAAGACCAAAATCAGAGCAGTGAGCCTGGGAGCAGCCTGTTGTTTTTTTGGATTTGTCAGCCTCTTAGAACGGCGAATGTGCTAAGACGTTAATAGAATAAGCTTCCGTAACGCATTTGCGCAAACTTTTAGAACACTTGGCGTGCTTTGATATCACGAAATAATATTCATCAAGAATACTGAGGTTGAATGAAATTCGGCTTACGAAATAGAGCGATTGAAAGCCACTGACCAGACGTCTACAACAGAATTGATTTTGTGATGATTGCGCCCTCTTGAAACAAAGTGTATGAATAATCAATATATTATTTCATCATCATGAAAAGACCTGTGGAGCTTTCCTTTCCTCAGCTGGGTCGGTCAGAAAATCTATATAAAACGACGCGGAGCTGCTTTATTTAGCTGTATTCAGCACTTGATTATGTCTTTTATATATTACTGGCGATTAGGAAGACAGCACTTTTTTAGGTTTAATTTTGGAAGAATATTCATTGGATTGATGAAGCTTCTCAGGTGATCGCTTAGCTTAGTATGTCTATTACGTACCTTGTTACGTAGCAATAGGATACAGTAAGTGTCCGAAACTCAGTTTCTTCACTCCTCTCGAGTGTAGACTAGAAGAAGTAATTTACCTCCAATTTTACTAGTTCGAATGTAGCTTAAGTATGCACTTATTGGGTACATGAGAGCAGGCGAAATCAAGAAAATCAATTGAATTAAGTTACTGCGAAATCAATGTAAGTTCAGAAATTACTTGTGTATATCATACAGCAATCAAAATAACGTTGATTAATCAGATTTTGACCTTTTATTTACTGTCCGATCTCCAATAATCATAGCAAGATACGACATGAAGCTGTGACTATGCAAATGGGGAAGTACGAGTAAATTTGAACCCTGAGAATTTTGTGTGATGAACACAATTCGAATCAAGCTCATATCTCACCATTTATGTCGTAAGCGCAGCGTTTATTTCACTCTCTACTCATGATCTTTGATGAAGCAGTTTAAATTAACATAGAGCGTTTTGTTGCTTTGCTTTTGTGCCATGACAATCCGAATGAAAGTCCGATATTCTAATATTTTTACTGCTGTTTTTTCGCAGTGTTTATGATGTTACTTATATACCTAAGATAATTGAGTGGTGTGTAAAAACATGGCCTCACACGGGAATCGAACCCGCGTTTCATACTATCAGGGGACGCGTGCTCTACCACTAACACCACCGAGGCACATTCAGCCACCAACCTTTCAACAGGTTTGGCCGGGTATGCGATTTCGCTATATAAATCCAGTTGAGCCGGCAGCCACTGTTAGATACAATACTCTGCAGTTCTAGTATTTTTATTGCTTTTTTTCGCAGTACTATGATGTTACTTATATGCCTCAGAGAATTGAGTGGCGAAACAAAAATATGGCCTCAAAAACATGTTGTGGAGTTGTGTGATGAATAACAACCCGAATCAAGTATTTTTTAACTGCTTTTTTTCTCTTCCTTATAACCTACATAGCTAACATAGAGATGAAGAATGAGTGGTCGGACAAATGTGCCTCGGTGGTGCAGTGGTGGAGCACGCCATCCCTGATTAGGATGAAACACGGGTTCGTGATTTCCGCCTGAAGCCATGTTTTTGCGCGCCACTCAATTCTCCAACACAAAGTCTTTTTCCTTTTCCTTATAAACTTACACTGAAAGATGGAGTTAGCCGTTCTAAAGTGCACATACAAACTGTTCGGTGTGAAATGACGGCATCTATTTTGGCACTAGATCGTCGGGACATATTCGTATCAGGCTCTGCTATGAATGAGGTATAGGGGAGCATCATGGTTCCTTTTTCAGACCCACAGCTTCCAATACGGATGTCTACTGGAAATAAGTCCAATATCTATTTTACCACTTCATGTGCTGCATTATTCTTTGTAATTCGTCATGTTTGAAGGGCTCATAATCGAACCTTCTCTGCTATAATCTTTACCTCAATTAAGACCCATTTGGAAAAAAAATTATTGAACTCCTCAATAAACGGTGAGAGTACGAAATGTCGGTAATGGAACTTTTCTTGTCTTGATATGAATAAGTGGTAATATGCCTTATCAAAGGAACCATTTTATCCCTAAGGCATTATTGAAAGAAAAAATTTTAAGCTTGCCTGATTGTCGGCTCAAAACTTGTTAACCAAGGAAGTTCTGCATTAGTTGGAATTTGCCGACAAAGTACAGTATCGCGTTTGAAGTACAAAGTGATTAATGAGGAGAAATTACGTGGCGTTCAACAATTCAGCGAAGACGACGCGGAACTGCTGCAATACGGAACTGCTTCTTCAACTTTATTCATTGTTCATAAAAAAAAGCTGTAAGAGCGCAGAGCAATTACAGTGCTTTCGATTGGCCATCCACAAAACATGCAAATTATATATCATTAAGCTTTGAGCCGGAGAGTTTAGTTAGCGTATGGGAATCTGTAAAACTTTCTGCTTCAGGCATTGTTTCGATCCTAGTGTAATTCAGTCCAATTAATAAGAGAATTTTTTTTAGACGGTATCAGATTTGCTTCAAGTGAAGTTTCAAAGAAGCAGCTCTTAATAACCTGATATAAAATTGCATACTGATTTTGTAAACCAAAAAAGAGTTTATTGTTACACTCTCGTGAATATGCTAGATTATTAGGTGGAGGAAAATGTTCCTTGAAACCAGCCGAAAGTTCGAAGTTTATGAATGAATAAAATTAAGCAGAGTATAATTATTCTTCATGATAAAGACCATTTCATCCACGATCTCCTGCCAACGACCTCCAAGCTTCCGGATCTGCTCAAAATACGACTCCTTAAGCATCGAAAAAAAAACTCTTGACATGCCACTTCAGCTACCAAATGTCTCAAATCGGCGTCCACGCAGGAAGTTTTTTTGAGCGGAAATTGGACCATAATCGGGCGGCGCAGCATTTGGACTATAGGCCGGGTGAAGCAAGACCTCGACTTCCTCTAGTTCCATCAGACTTTACCTTGGTCGTCTTGCGGTGTAGCGTTTGGCATTGCCTTACTGGAACAGCACACGCTTTCGAGACTGATATCACCACTTTCAATTTGTTTGTACCACTTTGCAACGGTCACTTAGCTCGCACTTCCTTCACCTCAGGCACCACAAATCCTCTTCGCAGCATCTCTTGTAGAACGTTACCGCTCGCAGCAATGGCGTATCAAAACTAGAAGCCAATTTTGTCTATCGTCATCATTTCATATCCAAAGAGTAAATTCAAATTTCACGCACTATAACTAGTGTTTGCCATGGGTTCTTATGGAAGTATTTCTGAAATACTTCCATAGATTTGCAGTAGCAGACATTGTGTGGAACAACATGAAATTTGAATTTTCCGCGGTTGTGAAGAAGCTTTTTTCTCGACGTAGTAATATTGAATGCAATTCTTTATAGTACTTTTTTATGAGATTCAACAATGATTTATTGGGACCGTTTCGGGCGAACAACTACGAAGAGCTCAAAAGCCAGAGATAACGAATCGCATAAACTACCTAAAATAAAGGAAGAATAACATCGAATTTCATTTTTCTAGTCTTCATTCCCTAATTTTCTTAGAAATACTGATTTATCAGAGAAGAGGGTCAGGCCAAAGGAGTGAGAGTCAATATATGTAACAATTTTCCTTTCGTCTGCATGTAGTGGAGAAATTGCAATATATTGACGACTCTCCATGAACATTCACATTTATTGAAACTTGAATCTTTCGAAATAGCTTGGAGGAACTCCAGCTCAGTTCATCTCGGTCGAGTTCTATGAATTTTCACGTTTCCTTCACAATTCAAACTGTAAGTAACTCAAAAAATATAAGAGGTCCTTTTGGTTTGCCTTTTGAAAAGCTCGGTCCCTCAATGTATTTGTTCATCCTGTGAACAGCTCTCGTGGCACCGTTTACGCTTTTCTTTTCATTAGTGGATTCTTGAATAATCTTACTCTTCGCCCGTTTTCGAATCCTTCACTAAAACTCTGAACAAAGCCAGTATGCCCTATTGTTATTTCTGAGAAATGCGAGTAGTCCGTTGTGGGCATTTGTACAACGCAGGACACTTGTTTCGGGCCATCAGCCTAGTCAGTTGCACGGTGCCCCACAGTTCACTCAGTTCCACAGATAGATATCCCCATATAGGAACCGACGCCGTAATATTTACACGTGCCGTCAAGTGATAAAATCACGGAACGGGCAGTGTTGTACACTCCATTGCTCTTGGCTGGTAACCGTTACATATCATACCAATCGTTTCGAGTGTTTCTTAAGACCACGTTTCAAATTCAATATGCTTGATATTTAATTCCGATATAATTACAACACTTCCCGTTCGGTGATTTCATCAATTGACGGCGTGTGCTAGTATTACATCGTCGGTTTATTTAGAGGGGGATATCTCCCGCGGAACTGATTGAACCGTGAGGCGCTGTGCAGCTGATGAGGCTGAAGGGCCGAAACAAGTCTTGAATTGTATAAGTGCCCATGACTGACCACATGCATGGCTCGAAAATAATACCACGCATATTGAATATTTAACATGGTCGAAACACTCGAAGCAAGTGGTCTGAATAAATTATTTTTTTGGCTATCAGATGTCGTCACCACCAACGAGGAAGGACTCACAGTGTACTATACGGGAGAGCTTGATGGAAGTCTCATATCAAAAAAGGACTCTTTCTCTTTAGGATTTTTATCATAGAAACAATTCGCATCAAAAGTTCTGCTTCGTTTTCATTGATCGATTTTTCCTTTTACACACCAGACATCTTCTCGGAGTTTTATTTCTAACAGCGACGTTTCATCAATTATAAAACTCTTTAAAAATTGAAAAAGGGGTGGCTAACATATAGATGCATTATAGCGCAGAAAGATTTGTGTCAAAACGGGCGTCGGTAGCGCAATGGTTCGAGCACAACGCTCCGGATAAGGTGAAATACGAGTTCGAGTCCCTCTTAATGTTAAAATTTTGCACATCATTAGATGTATTATAAGATTGTACCACCCGGTCAGATAGAATAAATTCTATTTGATCATGAAATTTTTCATCTTCAAGAATCCACGATTTTATGACACGGCAATACGAATGAAACGGTGGGAACTAAATTTTTCGGCGTAGCTCATAGGGAATGGCACATTCAGTGAAAGTTATGTACAGTGAACTTTCACGTACCTTCCTTTCGCTCAGCATTTGACATATAATTCCCCTCCCCTTCCCCTTGGTTTATTCAGTCTGCTCTCGAAAGAAGACTCTTCCATAAAAGTAATTTCCAAAAAAGAGCTGCAAAAACATCTTGCTCTTCGACATTGTTGGCAATTGAGCATCAAGTCTCTAATTCGTTCTTTCACTATCATTATCTGGTACCAAAACTAGAAAATTTGCGAAAATATATCAAGCAAGAGTTAACTGTTTCATGAGCTGAAGTGAACATTCATACAAATGGTCAGACTCTCGGTGGTCGGTTCCCTTATGATTTTGATGCTAATCGCCACTACTGTGTTGGGATGTGGAGTGATGCCACCAGGTCAAGGTAATGAAGAGAATTTGTCATAGTACAACTGACAATTTTAGTCTTGGAAAAAACATTATGAATTTTGATAGTAGTGGATATATCTAACATTCCAGAATTATTTAAACGCTCGAGAGATCGACTTTCTATCAACCTCGGCATCAACGTTAATTGTCAATCAAATATGGTAACTTAGCTCTTCAGCTGTCACGAGGTTGGTAGACGACGTTGGTGTTCTCGTTTTTGTTGTTGTCGATAGATCGCTGTGCGGATTGCTGGCTGACGTTTCGACGACACTGCCTTCTTTGGAGCCTGGATGTACACTATTTTCGATATATGTATGAGTCGGTAAGTTGGATCGATGCATAAGCACCGCCCTTGGATCAAGTTAGAAAAGCAGGCGCATGTAAGATGCCAAGTCTCGTGTTACAGCTACGCAATCATCTTCACGGTTCATTTTTGGATTTAAGCGTTTATTCAAAACGCTTCAATGGTTTAGCGCGGTGGTGTTCTATGTTCACGCGCCTGGGTCGTGATCGCTACATCAAAATCATTATTGTTGTACTTTTGCACTCTATGTAAGCCTAAAGGTTTGCTTCTATCGGTATGCGCCTCTCCGTCTAGATGTTCTTTTGAGCGCAGATGAAGTGGTCTACCCATTTCACCAGTATAATTCTGCCCGCATGCAGTACATGTCATTGAGTATATTGTGCCAGAGCCCATGCAGTTCCCCTCAATGCTCTGAATAACACAGCCGATCATAAAGGCACTTGCGGACCAGTTGACGGCGCAGGATTGGAGGTGGGAGTTCGATTACTGTTACTAGATTTTCAAGACCCACTTCTTCTTAGGCACCTCTTAATAGCGCAACTAACTTCGTTTGATATAAAGAGCAACTTAAAAGCGATTTTATTAAGGTGCGAGTTTTTGTTTTGGTCTTGGTTTTGGGGTCTGACCCTCTTAGTTGAACCGACCCTAGTGGCTGGTGCGTCGTAATCATAGCCGTTGGATATGGCTATCTGCCGTGCCAAGTTCAGCGATTCTTTCCTCTCCTCTCCTCCAGTGCACATATTGCTAGCGTGTGGTACATACTTTTGAT